GTGGTCTAGTTCTGATCCTTAGGTTACATTCTCCAGTCCCATCCTTTTAAAAATCTAGCAACTTGGAGACTGAACCCTCCATATCACCTGTATTAGGGTGTCCGTTATTTACCGTTGATCATCTCTCACGACGCCATCTAAATTTTTAGTTTATTGTCTAGAAAAAATAACAGAATTCATTGTAAACCCTAAATACGGCCAAACCTTGCCCCAAAACGATTCATTTTCCATTTAAATTACAGTGTCTGTCCGTCTTTTATAGCTACGGGTATCCGTGAGAGGGGAACGATATTCTCTCGATGTTTTTCGTAAAAATTTCAGATTTGATGCCCCATCAATAAAAAAATTACACAAATTTGCAAGTAGCCAATAAAATGAGTGGGCGGAGCGATTTGCGGTGACGTACTTCCGTCAAGTTGACGAATAAAATATATTGTTGTTTATTTAAATGTTTTTGGTCCGCATTCCTTTCATAGACAATAGATCCAGTAGACGTACTGTACAGGGTGGGTCAAATTCGACGCTTTTAAATGGAAACACCCTTTCTATAGGGCTGCATTTGAAAACCAATATCGGTGTCTGACACTTTCATCAAAAACATGATGGTGACAACCGCACATCAAAATCTGTTACCGTTTCGGTGTTTTTCAAAAAATGTGCATTTCAACAAGCTGTAACTTTTTGCTATGGAAATTGCGCTTTATGCAAACATTTCCAAAGCACCTTTTACGTAGAATCTAATTGTTTGGCATAGCCTTTAAAATTAATTTAAGAGTTATCAACAGAAAAAAATTGATTTTTTGCGCGGGTCACCCTGTATATTTTTAATTTATTGAAAATAATTTAAAATTTCCTTTCCAAAAATATAACACACTTGATATTTTGCTGATTCCTCTTCGAGATATAGAGTATATAAAAATTCGCCCAAGCTAAAATAAGTATTGAACGGCACCGGCTGTACGCAAAAAAATTTAGCTGTGAGCATCAATTAAAACGAAAATAATATTTGCTATGAGAGATGCAGAGCAACAATTTAAAAATATATTTAACCAACATCAACACATTTAAACTATATCTCATAACAATAAAAATAAATAGCAAACCAGGACATGATTTTGCTACAGGTGTTTCGACATATTCACTTCATTATGTACAGACGGGGCAGTTTTTTGAACATTTCTTGCGGAATTCATTAACTCAGTGGGGTGAGCGATCTCCTCATAACTGCTAAGTATTTCTAATTTTATCTAGATTATACAGAAGTATCAAGGAACCTTTATTTTCGTAAATATATCCATAGGATTAATCCATGGGCACTAGGTCAGGCGGCCTCGACGGCCAACGGCTGGGTTATTGGTCACATTAATTATTCTTGAAAATTGGCTGCAGAAATTTGCTGGATAACTTCAGTTCAGAAGGTGCGTCGTCTTGCTGGAAAATATGTTTTCGAGTCTCTTTTAAGGGCATATCATCAACAGGGTCCAAGCCTGGCCAGGTTAAAAAGTGGCGAACTTAAAAAGTGGTATTTCTGAAGGGGATTATAAAATATCAAGTGTGCTATATTTTTGAAAGGTAATTTTAAATTCTTTTCAGCTAATTAAAAATATACAGGGTGTCCCATATAAAAAATCAAATTTTCTTGTTGAGACTTTTTAAATTATTAATTTTAAAAAAATTATACTTAAACCATTAAATTTACGTAAAAAGGTGCTTTTGGAAATGTTTCTTGTATTAAAATACAAAATTTTCCATAGCAAAAAGTTACAGCGATTTGTTAAAAATGCATATTTTTGAAAAACACCCCGTAACTCCGAAACGGTAACAGATATCGATATGCGGTTTTCACCATCATGTTTTTGACAAAAATTGAGCTCCAGACACCGATATTAGTTTTTGTCTATCTCCTATAGAAAAGAGTGTTTCCATTTAAAAGCGTCGAATTTGACCCACACTGTACATGGGAATTTGCCAAATTTTGCAAATAATTTTTTTTCTCTCGATCTTGCTCTCTCGCAGCCATGACAATCACATGTTCTGAACATTGTTGTTGAACAAGTTTGTGTGTTCATCACATACAGAACTGGGCGCTCTACAAAAAGGGTCTCTTACAATTTTTCGATAAATCTACTCCTTCAAAAGTTATTCACGGTTAAAGTTACACGGTAAATTCCTAAATTTTTCAACTTTTTTGACAAAATTATGATTATTTTTGAAAGATTTAATGTATTATTTGAAAAAAAAAGCAATTTTCATGATACCATGATAAACAATTTTGAACAATGGAAAACAAATGAATGCACGACAGGTAGTTAATTCTAACACTTATTATTTTTGAGCTTGTATTCTTTTGCAGTACTTAATTAACTAATATTTCGTTAATAAATTTATATTAATTAACTAAAGTTCTGTAAATTTCTGTTATTTTTATTTTTTTTTATATTGAGATGACGATTTGAATTTATTTTTACAAACATTCTTGCCAACATACGGATATTTTTACCTACTTAACGCATTTAGTATCTCGACCAGTCACCATGTCTAGCCGGACCGTGCACCTCTCCAACTTCCAACCCACAGTTCCAATGGCGGCCGAAGTTCCGGATCATTTTCCAACGATTCCCGCCAAATTTAAATCGTAGGTTATTTTTTTGCCTTTTATTATAAACTTGTAACTTTCGAGAGTAAGTTCTTAAGTAATAGTAGCATAATTTAACCTAAATTTCAAAAACGTACGAAGTTCTACAAAATCGGTCGGGTATTTCGCGTATTACATCTATAAACAAAAAAAACTTACCCCAGAGACTAGCCAACGCAATCAAAATACGCCTATGATATATTTTGAATTGTCAAAAAAGTTGAAGAATTTAGGAATTTACCGAGTGGTTAATATTAACCGTGAATAACTTTTGAAGGAGTAGGTTTATAGAAAAAATGTAAGAGACCTTTTTTGTAGAGAGTTCAATTCTGTACAAGAATGTGTGTAATGTCATGGCTGTGGGAGGACAAGATGGAGAAAAAAACTTATTTGCCAAAAGTGGCAAATTCCCATGTTATTTGAATCCGAAATGAATCGTCTTTGGGGCAAGATTTATTGTGAATATTAAGAGTTTACAATGGTCTGTTATTTTTTTTAGATAATAAACTAAAAATTTAGAGGGCGCCGTGAGGGAAATGATCAACTTGGTAAATAACGGACACCCTACTCCTACCTTGCAAAAAAATCTTCCCTCTTTTCTCTTTCTCAACAATATACAGGTTTGTTCACCACATACGACACGGAATATTGTAGCTAACCGATTAGATTTTTGCAAATTGTAAGTTTTGGGTTCGTTGAAGGACTATTAGAGCTACAATTAAAAAATATATTTATTCGATACAGAGTGTCCCAAATAAATAAAAAATATCAAAGTTGTGTTTTTTTAAATGGAACACCCTGTATATTATTACATTTTTTGTTTCTACGATTAAAATAAAGGTAAATTTGATTAAGGTTCACCGCATTTTAATCTTACCGTTTTTGAAATGTTTAGGTTTGTGTCAAAATGCAGTAATAATTTTAATGCTTCTCTAGGCATATTTAAGTTTTTAGTTGGTAAGCAAACTAAATATTGTACTGAAGTATTCCTATTTACTACATTTTGTATTGCAATAATAAAAATTGTACTACCTTATACAGAGTGTCTAAAAATTTATTTTAAATAATTACTAGCTTTTAACGGCAATAACTTATTTAATTTAAGTAGACCACCCTATATATTTTATGAGAATCAGATGCACAATTTAATTGTCTATCAAATTGTATTATATCATTTTAATAATTTAGACCTCATTTATCAATATACCCATGGAATATTGCCATTTTAGATTATTTTTAAAGATGTAACAAATTTTTAAAGAGTACAGATACTAATGTTGTCGATATAGTTCGTTTATTTAATTAAAAAAATAAAAAACTGTTTAAATATTTGTTAAAGAGGATCAATTATTATAATTCTAGTATTCAAACTACATTAATTGACTGTTTGCGTTGATTAATAATAATTGCTCTAAATACTAAAAAACTGAATTTTGTATGTGTATTAGACAGTGTGGTAAAAAGAAACACCTTAAAAATTGTATTTCTTTTTTTTCACGAATTCTTATTTATAACAACAGAGACGTTCATTTTCATAACTTGTTATTATATTGATTTCTGATTCAAATTCACATTTATTTAGAATAATTTATTAACTAACACAATTAAATATGTAATTTAATAATATTTGGACTGAAATAATGGTGGTATATTTAACTAATGGTATGCTCTTTTATAAAGATTTAAATAGTTTTCTTTTTGTATACAAATGGGCTAGTAATATTATCCTTTTTAGCGCCTGTACATTTTGTACATTTGTTGCTTTAGAAACAATCTAAAATGTCAATATTCCATGGGTATATTGATAAATGAGGTAAACTATTAGAAAATGCATTTTCTACGAAAACTTGAAGGAATAGGTAAAAAATTATATAATACAATTTGATTGACAATTAAATTGTGCATCTAATTCTCCTAAAATATACAGGATGTTCCATTTAAATTAAACAAGTTATTGCTGTTTCACCTTAGTATTATATTTTTCGAAAATTATAATAATAATTTTCAAAATATACAAAATCATCCGGGGTATTATACCATTGATCGAACAAAAAACGGCGCTGTCATGTTATATGTAAGTATATATGGGAAATGTCATCGATCGTCATTTCGCAATAGGAATACCGTCTTTTTTTGATCATACGGTACAAGAACAAAAACTGAAAAAGAAAAAAAGTACTGTTTACTTCTCAAGGATGTTCGTGCTGGCATACTCGTCGAAATGGACAGATCGCGTGAACGCTAAGCTTGCCTATACTCAAGTTACTCATATCATACGGTTACTAGCGTTATTAAGTACACGAGTCGTTTGAGCCCGGCTTAAAAGAGAGACTCTAAAAACGTAACCAATTTTTTGAAAACTTACCCCCCAGTATTCTAGATCGTCACTGAAAGCCAGCACGCACATTTCGTCCACCAGATGCAGTTTCCCCGTTCTGTAAAAATTCAGAATCGACGAA